ATTGATGGGGAGAAAAAAGGCTGTCCAAACCTACCAGGCACTGTGTGAAAAAGTAAATGACCAGCTAGTTAATGTCACGTTTTAGTTAACAGACTCAGGCGCAGACCGGGAATCTTTACAGAGTTAACAATCAGTTTATTTACACAACGACACCAGGTGATGCTATTTACAACGTGCTGGAGGGAGGGGAGGAGAGTCCAGGGTTCCGGGGTATGTGAGGGGAAAGACGCGAATCAGACGCCTTCCAAAGGCTCTCTCTCTTCACTCCCCACACTGGGGAAACACAAATCCACTCACTCGTCCACGGGATGACAGGCAGGTAGGGAAAGGTCCGGGAAAGATCTGTACACAGAAACTTTAGTTAGAGACGAACAGACGGAAAGAACTCACAGATTCTGATTCTCAAACTACTGAGCGACTGACGCTGATAGCTCAACGATCCAGCGACGACTGACACAGTGCTGATCATCCCGATAGGCAGCAGGTGCGTGGGCCAGGGGCGGGAGCCCATAATGAGCACCGCCCCGGCAGGTGAGAGAGAGAGAAAAAAAACATGTTGCCTAGTACAGGATCAGCTGGTGAGGCACAGGGACCATGACAGTTAAATCACGAATCAACCGTGATTAACAATGTTTTTTAGAAAGCTGCATTAAGTTTCACTTGCCACACCTACACCTGACAACTGCCAGACCTGGTAAACCAAGAAATCTTTTAAATAGAACAAAATGCAATATATCATTCCATGATCTGAAGAAACTTAAAAACAGGTGAGAAATAAAACCACTGACATCTATCAGTCTGGAAAGGGTTACAAGACTTACTACTCCAAGAGTGCATTGATAACTTATCCATAAGGTCCCAAAAGAACCCAGAAAAACATCTAAAGAACTGCAGGCTCACTTATCTTAATTAAGTTCAGTGTTCCTGATACAACAAAATAAGAAAGAGACTTGTCAAAAATGGCATCCATGAGCAGAACCAGGTAATAAGTTTAGGGGGCAATTACTTTTTCACATATGACCAGGTACGTTTGGAAACATTTTTCACTTAATAAATTACATCTTCATTTAAAAGCTGCATTTTATTTTTATTTGAGTTACTTTTATCTAATATTAAAAACTTCCAAACAAATATAAAGTAAGAAATCAGTACAGAAGGATACTTTGTCACTGCGCTGTATTGCCTTTCATGTTAAACAAATGCTTTAACTAAAGTGGCTACGGATGGGCTTAGGTCAAGTACAATAAACATCATCTCAATTTAATCTTAAGCTAGCTTTACTCTAATCAAGGCAATGTGAATTTGATTTGATATGATTAAATTGATTAACATGACAAGATTTAAAACACAAGATGCAAAATAATAAAGTACAGAACTTCTCCAAAGCAGTAATAGTGAGCGTCTTACTAACGCACGAGTTCCTGGACAAAATTTCATATTGTGTTTGTCGGTACTTGAGAGTCTGTCGATCTACTGAAAGAAATATTGCCTGTCACATTTTTCATAACTGTCAAGAGTTTCAGTTTACTCTGGTAAGTTGGGTGTGCACAGTAAAACAACACTTGTCTGTCTTAAAGTTATGCTAGCAGGGGTGTGTGCATTTTGATTGACTGCAGTGATTTGGTTTCAGTATTATTCTGTGAGACAATAAAAATAACACCATGTTTTTGTTTTCCTTTACAGGGAATCACCCCTAAGATGTTAGCGATGCAACAGAACGGGAAATGCTACATGATTTTATAATCAAGTTCACATGACATTATTGATTTTTCTTTGATTTTATTATCTGCAACATTTAACTTTGGAAAAAAATACTAATATTTATGTACTTATACATGTAAACATTTCTCTTCACGCATGTGATTTTTAATTTTTATTTCACAAAAGGTAAGAAAAAAAGTAAATTCTTTTATAGCACTGTGATAATAAACATCCACGCACACAGCGTTACACCTCCGGTGTTTTTTTAAATTTGCAGTCTGTTTCTGCAGCAGCTTTTCAGTTGCCCTCATACCACACACAGATCTCTATTCAGGTCCCGGCGGCATACTTGAAAGGGAAGAATCCCTTTGTCACTGTCACTTGGTGTTCGCTCGCTCTGTTCCTGCTCAAACACAGTGGTGTTTCTGAGTAGCTTATCTGCTTAGCAATTTAATTAAAAACATTTAAATACATTCTTTTTTCATAGTATAATCTTCACGTGCTTCATCCGAAGCACACTTTCTGTGTACTCACTACCTAATTTATAGCCAAAGTATTCACTCACTGTCTCTGTACTGTTTCGCTAGCTTAGCTTAG